CGAAGCGGAGTCCAGCCCGGGGTCGTCACATGTGGTTGCCGCAAGCCCGCCGGACGCTCCTTCGTCGAATCTGCCGCCTCTCCTCACGCTAGCCCCCGGCTTCTGCTCACTCTAGGCCACCACCGCCGCTCACTCAAGGCCGCCGTGTGTGACGCTGTGTTACGTTGTGAATGCGAAACTACTTTGTTTGGTCTTCCAAAAATGGACACGTCAGTACACCAAATACACAAAATTATGTTATTTTTAGCAGCATCATATGACCCCTTTAATGCCTTGAATCTAAGGAGAGGAGCAGTGTGTCCCTCGCCGCCCTGAAGAAAGCGCTTGCTGCCGGTGGCTACGATGTGGAGAAGAACAACTCCCGTGTCAAGATCATCGTTAAGAGTCTGGTGACTAAAGGGACCCTGGTCCAGACCAAAGGAGTCGGCGCCTCCAGCTCATTCAAACTCAACAAGAAACGAGCCGAGATCAAGACAAAACCTGCCAATAAAGCCGCTCCTAAAGCCAAGAAGCCCGCAGCCAAGAAACCTGCCACTGCTAGGAAGCCCAAAACCGCAGCAGCGAAGAAGCCCACCGCTAAGAAATCTCCGAAGAAGGCCAAGAAACCCGCTGCTAAAAAGACAACAAAGAGCCCAAAAAAAGCAAAGAAACCAGCGACTTCTAAGAAAGCAGCCAAGAGCCTTAAAAAGACCAAGGCAGTCAAACCCAAGACAGCAAAACCCAGAGCTGCCAAACTTAAAAAGACAGCAGCCAAAAGAAAATAATACTTTTTAAATTTTTTTTAAAACGGCTCTTTTAAGAACCAACCACTACCTCATAATAAAAGAGCGCTATTTTTATTTATTTTTTATTTTTTGGTTAACTGTACAATGAGCATGCCATGACAGCAAACTAATGGCCCTTACATGTTGAAGTACAAATACTTTTAGCCTATATGTTAATGTTGTTATGAGAATGTGAATATTTTGTTAAATCTGTGTTCATGTTTACACAAATAAACTGAAACTTTTCTAATTATCTCAACTTTCAACATTACTATTCATTTTAGTAGTAGTATGCTTAAAATCATAAAAACGAATAGGCAAGGCCACAATATATAAGTTTAAATACACACAGATAAAAGTGTTCTTCATAAAAAATTATAATCACTATAAAACAAATAAGATATAAATTGAGAGATAATAATGGGAGTCAAGAATAAATGACAAAAAAAAAATAAAAATCTAAAAGGCAGTGTCAAATAGTACTATATGTGACATGCTTGAAAATTTTTGTCAGTAGCGGAAAGGGGGTTGGGTTTGTAGTTTGGAGGGAAGTTCACTGATTGGCTTGGAACGTGTTCAGACTCCAGCCAATAGGATACTGGCACGCTTTCTTTTAAAAGTCATATCACTACTAGTAAAGTTAATTGTTATCCTGCATACTAGTCAAAGAATAGTTATTAAAACCAGTTAAACGTGCTTCCATCGGTGAGATATACAGCGTTTTGTCCAGGTTCAGAAATAGACGCTCGTCTGGAAACAGGCGCTTTTCATATCCAAACCGCGCACAGCCAGCGCGTCTGATGTTCTATAGATCTGTGGTAACTTGTGGACTGCAATTGGTCAGATTACAGTCTGTCAGCTGAGAGCTGGGCCTAATAGAACCTGAATTACAGATTTTCAAAAAAATAATTAGTTTTAAATCTCCAAAAGCGCCTATGTTTTTTTTTGTGTTTATAGTAATATTTGAAAAGTATATAATGTTATTTATAAAGAATTACACTCATATTTTGTAGTTCAAAGGGTTTTCTTTACAATGAAACCATTTTTTTTAATTTCCTCCATTGTATGTGTGCAGGGTAAACATTTGAATTTGAGTATGTTAAATTTAGGCGAAAATACCAAAAAACGCCCTGAGCTTAAGTGGTTTTAAATACAATGAGTGGAAGAGGCAAAACCGGTGGAAAAGCCCGCACTAAAGCCAAGACTTACTCCTCCAGAGCTGGACTGCAGTTCCCCTGTCGGCCGTGTTCACAGGCTTCTCCGCAAAGGCAACTATGCCGAGTGCGTCGGTGCCGGTGCTCCGGTTAATTTGGTCGCTGTGCTCGAGTATCTCACTGCTGAGATTCTGGAGTTGGCTGGAAACGCCGCTCGGGACAACAAGAAGACCCGTATCATCCCCCGTCACCTGCAGCTGGCGGTGCGCAACGACGAGGAGCTGAACAAGCTTCTGGGTGGCGTGACCATCGCTCAGGGTGGTGTGCTACCCAACATTCAGGCTGTGCTGCTGCCCAAGAAAACCGAGAAAACAGCCAAGACCAAGTAAACTGAGTGAAGTTTCTCTTCAAACCAAAGGCTATTTTAAGAGCCACACATATCCTCTGTGAGAGAGTGATTTCCTCTAATTCATTCAATAATTTACTTTATTTTCATATTGAAGATTTATAATAAAAAATTTTTTTATCAAAAGCGCGCAAGCACTTATTGGTTTCTGTACTCCAAAGTTCTCCACAGAGCACATGGTACCGAAACAATTTTAAAGGAGCCAGCATGCCTTATTTGTCCAGTCGCACTACAATATTATTAAGATTATATGTATATAGCTTCATTGACATGGTTAAAAAGATGTATGATGTATATGTACAATTGAAGGAAATACAATGAACATTGTGGTGATAGGTATTCAAGTATGGCATTTTTTAATTTTAGTTCCACAAGTCCAACTCTACTCATTCAATAAGAAATAAATGAACAATCACGTGCCTTTGCACACACATTTAAGACTATTTAGATCTATTTTTTTTTTGTAGTTTCGTTTAAGCAAAGTGAAACCGAATAAAGGACAATTGGGCGGGAATCACAAACTGTCCCCCCTGTTTGTAAAAATGACAAGCACAGCCATTGGCCAGCTGTCATTTAATAATGCAAGACAAAAACCAATCGAATGCCTTGAAGCTACCGCCCAATGAGTGCATGGCAGCCCTGGGCTTAAATAAGCCTGTTTTGCTTTTGTTCCTTACTGTTTTTTGCATCAACAGAATTCATCTTAAGCAATAGTGATGGGAAGTCCTTTTACGCCCTAACGTAATGACGTCATTCGCGATGACCTAATGATATCAAGTCTATCGTCCCGGGCCGGGATGAAAATACACATTCAAATACATAAAGTCAGTAATCATAACTTCAGTCAGTTAAAACATCATAATCATGATCTGAAAAGTTTACAATTAAGTTTTGCAACTAAGCACCCAAATACAGTAACAGGCAGTGATGTGCATACCAGGATTTAAGTCTTGAAGATATAAAGTAAATAAATTAGTTGTTATCAGCGCAGAAACCATAATCAATTTATTATACATAATCCATTGCAATTTATTTGTTATTAAATAAACTTAGGTTTCGCCAGACTGCCCTTCATTCAAGTCCTTGGTTTACCCGCGCTCATAACATTAGCACAGAATCAGTTGTCCAAAAGAACCAGTTCGGTTCAGACGTGCTGTGTCAGTCATAGTAGGCAATCTGTTCGGTAGCTTCACGCTGTATCACGCATGCGCAGTATCATCAGCTCATCGGTTCTCAAATCGGACGCGTCCGAAAGAAACGGTTCTCGGTTCAGTGTACTAGTGATCCGAAAACCGATGCAACCGGTTCTTGACTCGAGAACGAGAACCGCTCCAGCAGTGGGTGTGTACGTTTTTTATCCGACTCGCTGCACACATGCTGCTCTGCTCGTGTTCATCTTCAGTTCTCTCTTCACAGCAGTTCAGTCAGTGTACTGTTTGAGTAAATTAATTACTCCGGGATATTGGTTTATTTAGACTCAGAGGGCTGTCAGCCACATTAAAAAAGTGAATAACGATGCGCTCGAAGATGTCGGTGATGGAAGAGTTCATGATCCCCATCGCCTTGGAGGAGATCCCGGTGTCAGGATGAACCTGCATCAGGACTTTGTAAACGTATATCGCGTAGCTCTCCTTCCTGGATCTCTTGCGCTTCTTTCCTCCTTTGCCGGCGGTCTTGGTGACGGCCTTCTTTGAGCCCTTCTTGGGCGCGAACTTTGCTGGTTCAGGCATGATGCTCTCTACAGAAACAATCAATATTTAATAAATTTCGTTAGAACCATAGACTGTAAAAAACGATGGACGACGCACCTTCAATCTCTTTGAGGAAAAGTGAAGCCGCCATTGTCCCAGCAGGGCTGATTGTCCATATTGTGCTGATTTGGAAGTGGAGTCTGCGCAGTAGAGAACTAGGGACCAGAGTCTGCGCAGTAGCGAGCGAAGTGGAGCCGTGTCCCGCCCACACTCCCGCAGAGTCGATCGCAAGCATACACCCCTGACCCTGTTTTAATTAGCCTGACTGCTCCAGTTTTTGTCTGCTGAGAGAATTGTGTTAAAATAAGGTAAATACAACTCCAATATCCTCCTAAAGATCCCAAAAAAGTCAGTTGGCACCTCAGTTCACTCAGAGAAGCTGTCAGTCTCAGCTGTCAATCATGACGTCACACTCCCGTTTTTATAGCATCACTTAACTAACTAAAACCAAAATTATTTATAAAACGAACACTTGAACTTACATCAGTGTGATAAAATCTACATCAAATGACAAAAGCCATCTTTGGAAAAAAAATATTTGAAGTGAAATGTAATTATTTAGTTTGTCCCATGTCCCATTAGATTGCATGGAGAGGGCGGGGTTTACGACCTATACTGGGACCAGCCACCTGGGGGCGATCGAAACGCAATGGCTTCACTTTTTAAGACTCGTGCGGCACACTTGGTTAGAACACACAAGCTTTTATGCACTGCGCTATGCTAATTTAGAAAGGGAAAACGGCGGTCTGTTATTGCGTGTCTCCATTGACCAACCCACAGAATGATTTCATTGGCCACATTAAAGCCAATCAGAGGCTTTAAAATGTGAATCCGCCCATCACCTCATGCTTTACATCTACCGTCCCCATGGGCGTCGCTAGGCCATTTTTAGGGGGGCTATAGCATATAGGGGCTATAGTAATGAGTGAAATATTGTGAACAATTAGAGTTCTTCGTACTTTAAACATATATATAGTACTTAAATTTATCATCTACAGACTCAGAGGATTCTATAATTTTAGCGTTTTAAAACATGTTACATACATTTATTCAAGCAGGGCTTCTAACTCGCACGCGACTGACACTATTCTCACGCTCTCACGTATGTAGGGTTGAAAATGCTTGCTGTCACCAGGGAATAGCAGATGTTTCTAGGCACATAAGCAGCAAAGGCCATCAGGAAAAACAGAAGGCACTGCAATCCAGCAGTGGAATTCAGCAGTCCTCAGTGCCACTTCCTTCTGCTGGGACAATGTCCGCCCAATAAATAAAGTTTGATAATACACAGTTGTGTTATGTTTATGTAGTGGAGGGTTCATAATCTTATTTCCTGAGTATAGTTGGGCTTTTAGATGCCATAATCTATTGAATTCATTGTGTGGAATAAAATCATTCAAGATGTAACATCAATGCAATTCTATCTTGAAGACAAGGAGGGCGGAATTAAAAATAGCTGTGATGCTGGCAAACCATAATATACTACTACTGGCTGTCACAGATCATCTCACTCGGTCCACTCATAAAAGAGTGCTTCAAAGACTCTACTGCACATGAGTACAAATGTGCAAGAACCAAGACCACCTGTAATATAAATCAAGCAGTAGCCACACATTTCAAAAGCACACTGGTAATGTTGATGAGAGAGAGAGTCCATACACCCTCGTCACAGATGCCTCAAATGACACAGGTAGGAAGGAAATGTGTTTACATTATGGTATAAACTGAATTACATTTCTCCTCTCGTTTTCTTTTAAATTTTGGCCATATTTTTGATGTGAGCTGGCTTTACTATATTTGTTTGAGATAATGGGCTAATTCTTTTGTCAATGCAGGAAGAGAAAAGATGTGTGTTTGTTTGATGTGAACAAAGTGGCCCATCGGTTCCTTAGTATGTGCACTACAAGTGGAACCAGATCTGGCACAGCAGAACTCATCTTCCAAAAGATTGATGCATGGCGCCTAACAAGACAATAGCATTCCGTGATCCAACTGTGTTGGCCTCTCTGTGGTCAATGCAGCCGTAAACATCGGACAACACAATTCAATTGCATCAAGAGTTCTTCAGAAAAACAGCAGTTTATGAACATGGCTGCCTGTGTCATGTTTTACACCTCACTGTGAAGCCAGCAGGTCTTGCCTTTTCTGAGTTAAGTGTAGATTGAATATATTTTTAATATTTAGATGATGCACAGATTATGAATTTACTAAACAAATGATTAATAACAGGTGTCAGATTTTGATCTTGTAGCTGTTGTCTTTTGGTTTAAAGGCAGCACCGATCGCAAGGGCTTTCTGGCAGGTATTTACTAACCCAGCTCTACACAAATGATACAGATTTTGAGCAACTGATAAAGTTAACTAATGTAGAATTCATTCGTTATAGAATTATGGAATTAATGGCCTTTACACATAGTTTTGTGATTTGTGATTTTGTGTTTTTATTTGGTAATAGGATATATCACGATAATGAACATGTACAATATTGTTATCATGGGAACTTCAAAATAGCGTGAATAACTATTTATTACAAATTGTTCAGGTTTTTTGAATGCATTTTATGAATAATTTTTCCATCAAATGGTTAAAATTCACAACACCGCTGTATTTGATAAGACGCATGCGCACTCTGATGTAAACGAGCCCAACAGGAACGAGTGAAGGAGATGTGCTGAATGAAAGTGCCAAACTCTAATCCTAACCCAAACCATATAGTAATTAATATTACTCAGTACTTAAATGTATAATTACACTGTAACAAGGACACCTTAAAATTAAGTGTAACTGAATTATTTTAAAGCATTTATTAATCTTATTTAATTTCAACATTTACTAACACATTATTCAAATTAAAAGTTGTAGCTATTTTATTTAATGGCCCTGAGCTAATATGAACTAATAGTTGTATATTTTTTTTATCAAATAATAATAACTTTAACAAATGTAGCTTTTGCTCATTGTTAATGTAAGTGCAATGACTAAGGTTGATATATTATTGTAAAGTTTTATCTGTTGTTCTTTATGATTCTTTTGCACTTTAATCAGTTGGAAACATTTGTTTACTTTATAATTTTTTTTGTATTGCTTTATTGTATTTAAATGTTCAGTTATTTTTTTTAGGAGAAAAAAAGTTATTAAACCTGTTGTGACAACACTTTTTTGCAACGTATTTCATTATTGTTATAATACGGTATACCGCAATTGCAATTATCAGCGATTATCGCAACATGAAAATTGTATACCGTCACGTGCCTATTGTAGATATTTTTTTTTTCATTTTTTGACAAAGAAAAGCCTTCAACAAAACTTAGGGATATTTGTACTATATAAACATATATGTGTGTATGTGTGTGTGTGTGTGTGTGTGATACAATTTATTTTAGAATTATATGACTAGAAAAGATGAAGCTCAAGACTTTTTAGCGCTATTATTTAGTGGAGTTTTTCCGTAAATTCCATGCATTACCATTAGAGGTTAAAACATCACATTTGTATTTGGTTTACCATACCAATCAAATGCATTTATTATATATTTTACTTTTGAACGAACCGTGCACGTATTTATCAGGTGATCGCTGCGCCTAATGTCAGCATTCACCTCTCTTCACTTCATTCTGGTGTAATCTAGAAATGGTCATGCAAAGAACAATCTTCGATT